TGCAATGTGGTATTTATTTGATGTCGTTTTCAATACCTGCACAGGGAGATGGGGATAAGAATTAAATTAGATTATAAAACAATCATTGAATAGTTTATTGAAAAGTTTATCAAATTGCTAATATTACGTACAATGTGCAATCATTATTTCAGTCAGAGTCGTTTTGATTATGACTCGACGACATATGGGCGTCGAATTTCAGTGCAAAAATGCTATTGCTACTTACGCTGTCGACGCAAAAAGCGAGAAAGAGTCGAAGGCAAATATACTACACCGGCTTTTAAAGCCGGCTTCTACAGTACATCAGAAGCCGGCTTCTGGCGTCACCAAGAAGCCGGCTTTTAAGAACCGGCTTCGAATGACTTACAGAAGCCGGCTTCTGCAGTTACCAAGAAGCCAGTTTTAAAAGCCAGATTCTCTCTCTCAATCATTTTGTTGTGCATTATGCATCTTATTCTCGTATAATTAGCATGGAAATGAGAAAAAATGAAAATAAGTAAAATTGTTACAAATTGCAAGATTTTTTGCAAAAAGTAATTTCAAACAAAAACTATGGGGGAAATTTAATTCTAAGTAAAAATAGCGATGAGTTCAATCATGTTCGTTAAATAAGAGTAGATTATGCATTGCATTTCTGTTTGATAAAAACGCATCGCTCATTTTACAAAACTGGCTCCAACTTGGAGCCAGTTTGCAAATCAGCTCGCTCCATCTTACACAAGCTATGTAGGGGCAATCTAGCAACTGGGAATCACGGGATACTGTTTCATGATAATTGTTATGTGCATTATGCATCTTATTCTCGTATAATTTGCATGAAAATGAGAAAAAACTGAAAAATACGTAAAATTATTACATATTTCGAGATTTTTTGGAAAAAGTCATTTCAAGCCAAAACTATGACAGTAAATTGAATTTTAAGCACAGATATCAATGAATAAGATCACATTCATTAAATCAGAATAGATTATGCATTGCATTTCCGGCAAAAAAAAACGCACCGCTCACTTTTCAAAACTGGCTCCAACTTGGAGCCAGTTTGCAAATCAGCTCGCCCCATATGACAAATGCTATGTAGGTACAATCTGGTAACTGGGAATCACGAAATACTATCTCATGATTATTTTTATGTGCATTATGCATGTTATTCTCGTATAATTTGCATGAAAATGAGAAAAAACTGAAAAATACATAAAATTGTAATATATTTAAAGATTTTTTGCAAAAAGTCATTTCAAGCCAAAACTATGAGAGAAAAATCAATTCTAAGTAAAAATATCGATGAATTAGATCATGTTCACCAAATCAGAACAGATTATGCATTGCATTTCCGTTTAATAAAAACGCACCACTCATTTTTCAAAACTGGCTCCAACTTGGAGCCAGTTTACATAGCTTGTGTAAGATGGAGCGAGTTGATTTGTAAACTTTTTTTTTGTAAACTTTTGCCAATCAACCGAAGATACCTCAAGAAAAGCCGGAGATTGCCGAAGATTGCCGAAGCTTTTCTTTGCAAACGAAGTTGGCCGAGGGAACCACGAATGTGAAGAGGACGTCTCTAATTGGTCAAAAATAGGGGCTCGGCATTCTCCGTCAGATTGAATCGGCAAAATTCGGTTGTATGGCTTACCTTCGGTTGTATGGCTTACCTTCGGTTGCATGGCCCAACCTCGGTTGATTGGAAAAGATGCTGTCCCGTATACAAACTCGGGGTCCTAGGCTGAACCCACTGTATCATATGTTCTCGTTACGAACTGTCAAATTGCAATGCATTCCATATTAAACATTTTTCATTACATGATATCATAATGCCATACTAAATGTTCATACAGTGGCCCAATGCTATATCAAATGTCAAAATCCAAGAAAAAATCTCATATTCAAAAGTTGAAAAAGACATTGAAGAAATGATAAAAAAATAAATAAAACCTAATGTAAAATAAAAACGTTCGTAACTTCTGGACAAATGCTATATCATAAGAGTTAGATGTTGTAATCCAACGACCATTCTGCGGCACAGTCAGTACGCAGAGTACGTTAGTGCTAACCCTACTGCACCTATCAATAATTGATTCAAAACAACAAATTGAATGGTGGATTATTTATTTATAGTGATCACAACACGTCAAAATCGGATGATGACATGCCATGATATAACACATAAGTGAAATTTATTGTTAATTATATAAAGCTATGAAATGACACGACATGACTTGCTACCGTTCTTTGTATATACTCATTGTGATTTCATTAGTTACTAGTTTGACATCTACCTTGTCTCTGATATCATCAGTCTATGTTGCCATGACCAGCCGAAGCTGCACCATGGCAACTGTTTTGTTGTGTTTCAAGAGCATTTCAATATGGGAACCGATTGACGAACAGATGTTGATCAATTGACAATCTAATAGACTAAACTTATCTTTCATTTACCATTTAAAATGGATTCTCCCATACCACTCAAATCCACTAAGATAATCAAAACCCACGGTTTGGCGGTTTTGGGGGCTGTCTAGTTGCGTCAAATGGGTTTCATTAAAACGCAGCGTCTTAAACTGACCATCGCAACCCCGGGGATCGCGGTGTCTACACTTACACCCCTCCCGGCGATGACCAGTCTAACAGACAAGCTTATGCCATCTAACCAACCGCACACGCTGTTACGCGGTAAACACGATACAAAAATATGTCATATTCCGCAACAAATATGGCATATTCACTTGCGGTGTATGACAGATTCACCTGCGGTATATGGCATACACACTAACCAATGAGAACGTGATACGGAAGTACGCAATTGTCAATTGCATCGATTGAACAAACAAGTAAAACGTTATAAATTATTATAATGATTACTGAATCAACAGTACTGTGTATCGAATATATTAACTTAGCAGAAGTATCAGTCACTCAATCATTCCAGGATTCATATATTAGTACTCGACGCACTAAATATATTGGTAATCCAGCGTAGTTTTACATTTAGAGTCGATTCCCGCAACCAATCAAATCAAGGCTTTCTGTATCACGTTTTCAACTGCGGTATATGTCATTTTCACCTGCGGTATATGACATATTCCGCAGGTGAGTATCGGGTATTCACTGAAATTAATGTATCGCATATTCACTGCGGAATATCGCATACTCAACTGCGGAATATGCCATATACCGCAGGTGAGTATGGCATATTCACCCGTATCACAAATACCGCGCAACCATGAATATATGCCATATACCGCGTAACACACGCCTTGTTTTGTTATTTTATCAATGTATCGATACTGTCATCATTACAATACATGTTTCGAAATAGAGATAGGAAAATTGTAGAATTAAGTTAATCTTTAATCATGAATGGAATTAACTGTCGACAGAGCTTGCTTTTTAGTATTGAATTGTTTTCTTGTCAATGCAAAAATTATAAAATTCCGATTAATTAAGTTGGGAAAACTCCTTTTGGAATCCTGTTTATTATCAAATGATAGACCTAATGACGTAGAGTCTCCATGCGTGCTAGCCATTCTAAAAGCACTGGCGGATTAGGGGGGGGGGGGGGGGGCTGGAGGCCCGCTCCCCCCCCTTGGGTGGGCCCAGAAAAAGAAATTGGGCCCAAAAAAATGTTAGACCAAAAAAGGCCTTTTAAGGCCTTTTTTTAATTTCAGGCCAAATTTTGAAGAAAATGGGCCTCAAAATTTCAAAATGTGGGCCCACTTTTGGATTACAGGGGCCTGAAATTCGTCCCCCCTTGTTGGTTTCCAGATCCGCTCCTGATAAGTATGTAACAAAACTCTTTTTTTTGTTATTTTTTTACCGACCTATTTGAAGGGAATGGTCGATATGGAGAACTTTTTGAACACACGTTTTTCTAAGACCAGTTATAAAAAAAGTTAAAAAATTAACACATCGTCAATTTAAGGGTCAACTTTTGAATGGTAACAATATAATTTGAAAATTTTATATTATACTTTCATCTATATTGTTTTAGAAAACACATCAAACACTTGTTTTGTTCTTGGTATCATGTTTCCAGAGTGAAATGAAACATCTTTCCGAACCTCATTGGAACAAAACGCAAAACACAATATTGTTATTGTACAAAGGAAATTTTGATTTCAAAAAAGTATCTTGTTAATGAAATAAAAGGTTTATCTTGATTTTTATCTATTTTCGGGGGATTTTGTTTTAATTTTTAGAATACTTTTCTAAAATCAACCAAGAATTCCTATGTATAACTATAATATTGAGAGATATAAAAAACATTTTGTATGTGCTATTTTGTTCCAACAAGGTTCGGAAAGACATTTTATTTCATTCACAAGAATTAGTAGAAAGGAGCAAAAACAATTGCACTAAAAAACAAAAAATGTTAACAAAAACAGTTATATAAAATATTTTTAAATAATTTTTGCATTAAATTGTTGTCAATCAGTCAACATTACATAAAATACCGTGTTTTTATACAGAATGTTTTCAATAATTGGTTTGAGAAAAACATTGTTGAATTCAGTTCTCCATATCGATACCACCCCTTTGATGAAGTACTGTATCTTTTGTTTCAATTGTAGAACGAGAAAATACCACGTTGATCTGCAAGCCATGATACATTTCGATTTAGAATATACAGATGCACTTTAAACAAAACATATTAACGGCAATGTGTAGCTGTCAATCCCAATATTCCAATTATGACACCTAAATGAATAACATCACGTAAACTGTACCAAACAAGTGATATCAGATGGTTTGATTCGTCAAAGTTGAGAATACATTTCCGATGAAAACCGCTCCATCGATTAAACCTCACATCGTACTTTGCTATCCAGAATCAACTATAGAGGAATACATTCAAGCAAGGATACTTAAAATTATGAAAGCGAACATAGTTATTATGCTGTGTTTCATTTCATTCATTGAAACGGGAAACGTTGAAATTTCAATTAATCTTTCCAATCGACAACCGGTGAAAACAACGTATTTAAAATCCGTTAACGAAGAACGACTAGACCAACCAATTAAGTCGTTTAAAGTGGTAACAAACGGTCGATGCGCTGCTACCTGCTCGGCAACCCCGGAATGCACGTCGTACAATTTGCGGATGATAGACGATGAGATATACAAAGCAGTCTGCGAATTAAATGGATACAGTGCATCTCCCCCGACTCCTTCATCTGATAAAGTAGACTGTTACATAAAACCACGTAAGCAATAATGTCTTAGAATTATTTCGTAAATTTTTCAGAATCTGGTTACATTAGCGTAACAAAATAGAGGCACTTCCTGGCTTCGAATCCGATGGGGACTTTTGTTTTCTCGATTTACACCCTATGCAGACAGAGCCTGTGGGAAATATTGGGTGCGGCGCAAATGAGCGGAGGGTGCGGAGCTAACGGTCATTTTTGAATTTAAAATTGGGATATTTCTGAAACTAAGCCGTTTTGGGACTTCAAATATACCAAGATATGTGTATTTGACACCAAATATCAATAAAATTGTGAAAATAGTAGTGCAATTCATTTTATAGCGACGCAGTATGCCTTAAACATTTCCCAGACCTATATATTTTGAGACTATCCTTTTAATACTGCGTCCCCAGCATTCATAAAACATGGTGTTCAAGATACACTACCCATGCAAATTATTTTTGCATCTTGGAAGCCAGGCAGTATCTGTGTGATTTTATAAAAATTCGGAAATGTTCTTCAGATATGAGCCCCTCTAAATATTGGGTGCGGAGCTACGTTTATGGAGCTGCTCCGCACCCAATATTTAGAGGGGCTCATATCTGAAGAACATTTCCGAATTTTTATAAAATCACACAGATACTGCCTGGCTTCCAAGATGCAAAAATAATTTGTATAGATAGTGTACCTTGAACACCATTTTTTATGATGCTGGGGACTCAGTATTAAAAGGATAATTTCAAAATATATAGGTCTGGGAAAGGTTTAAGGCACACTGCGTCGCTATAGAATGAATTGCGCTACTATTTTCACAATTGTATTGATATTTGGTGTCAAATACACATATCTTGGTATATTTGAAGTCCCAAAACGGCTTAGTTTCAGAAATATCCCAAATTTAAATTCAAAAATAACCGTTAGCTCCGCACCCTCCGCTCATTTGCTCCGCACCCAATATTTCCCACAGGCTCTGTCTGCATAGGGTGATTTACTGTATACCAAATCTACTAATACGTAAAGTTACAGACTATAGCGTGGCAAAAAACTAGAAAATATAATTTAGCTTCAAGAAAGGTCATCGGTTTAAACTTGGTGAGAAGTGAAGCCGCAATTCATATATTTAGTATCTTTGTTACATTAACGAAAGTCTATGTGAACGAATGGACACGTATACGTACGATCCTGTCTTAGCTTCTCGTCATTTGAATTGACCATGTCTATCAGGACTCCTTGTTAGAACAAATATGGCGCGTGTGTAAATCATTGCCATCCAATATACGTCGATGTAACACAGGTTTAAATGTTACGTCAAAGTAACAAAAGTTCAAAATCGCACCTCATCTTAGTGACATTGCTTTTTCGTCAATGTAACAAAAGCGAAAGAGTAAATGTATAAATTACGGCTCCAAAGATTGTTTCCGACATTTTACATTTACTTTAAATTATATTTGAATTAAAACCGAAAAGCATATTTTGGACAGCAAGAAAAAATGGCTCTTCTGTATTCATTGATCATACTTCAGGTAAACCTGGTCCACCCGGAATCCCTACCGTATCTGCACGAAACGACACCGCTCATGTTACCTGGACACCAACTCAAGATGACGGGGGTGCAAAGGTCACAAATTACAAAGTTGAGATACGTCGTTCCAACCAATATACGTGGGAGCTTTTAAACACAAATGATCGTATTCCTGGTACTAGTTATTTGGTGAGAGGTCTAGTAGAAGGTGTTGAGTATGAGCTGCGCGTCAAGGCAGAAAATGAAGCCGGCACTGGTGAACCATCGCAACCATCAGGGGCTTTAACGTATGGTAAGCAAGTAGTTGACTGGATTCCAACTAATCTAGGTGAACTCATATTTATTTTTTATATTGTATACGGCTGTATGTTCGTCGCTCGATCGATCTGAGTATTCTGTTTGAGGAAGATATGTGATATTATACATCAAGTTTGCACACGACTGCCTGATATTTAGTTCCATGATGAAAGTCATAACTATATCGGTGGTTAATGTATTTATTTTTGTAATTTCAGTCGGACCAAGTGTTTTCATGAGGCAGCTGCAAACAGGTAAAATCTCAGATCTGACAGTCAGCCGACTTGGAAATATTGCTGTAACAAATCCAGTTGTTTCTTCAACAACAATCTATAACAGGACTTTCCACATGATAAAAGACATTAGCATAGCAACCAGGCGTGTAAGCCAGACCATAGATGGCCAGCTTGTTTTCACAGGTGCAGACGGTAAAACGATCTACTTCTACAGTGAAGATGGTACACCAATACGAACCATCACTTGTGGAGCCCCTGTTAGGCAAGTGACGGGAATAGCCGTGATGCCTTCGGGTGAGCTGGTAGTGACTGATTTTTTCAACGGAAAAGTACTACTGTTAGATCCCTCAAATGAGAACATCACCAGTATTCCAACACCCGGAATGTTCTCATATCCTCATTTTGCGGCAATTGACAAAAACAATAATATCATAGTCAGCGACCTCTCAAATGTTAAGGTCACAATACTGGATACAGAGGGGCTTGCTCTTTTCAATTATGCAGAGCCAGGTTCTGGGGAGGGACAGCTATCGAATCCTACAGGTGTCTCCATAGATAGCAATGGATTCATAATTGTTGCGGACAGGAACAACGACAGGGTTCACCTTCTCACTCCCAATGCAACATTTCATAGCTTTCTTTTGACGCCTGCAAGTGGTGTGTACCAGCCATATGGTGTACATTTGAACGAGGCGGGGGTATTATTTGTGGGAGATACCAATGGCAAGGTTTTCATCGTCACTTACTGAGACTAAGGTAAATATGAAGCAGCAATTCAAAAACAATCACTAATCCTCAACACCTGGTACTATATTATGGCACGAACTAATGAAATGGAAGATTTCAATTTGATTTAAGATAAATGATTCATAAAAATATACTTGAAATACTAGTTGTAAAGAATGAATATAAAAAACAATATAATCGATTCGTTTTTTCGAGTTAACTTGCCTGTTGGTTCAAAGTAGCGAGCCAAATATATTTTTATCTCATTTGGTTAGTCAACGAAATTTCAAATACGTAATCTAACAAGCATACAAAGACATCAAAGGGTGTTAAATATATTGGTATATGACAGACTGATAGAGTTAATGATATATCTTACTTTCAACGAAATTATATTTCAGTCCGGCTTCGTAAGCAGCAGGACATCAATAACAATAAAAACGTTGATAACAACAACAACAACAACAACAACAACAGCAACATCATCAACAATGACAACAACAACGTTAATTACAACAATTCAGTCCTGCCTCGTCAGCAACAATAATAACATCAATAACAACCGCGTTAATAACAAACAAAAATTACACCAACGTTGATAAGGACCGTAACAGAATCAACTTTTAATTTTTACAATGAATAACAGTACAACAACCTACAATTTCACCAAGACAAGTGCTACACTTACATTTTTATTAAAATTCAACACGTTTGAAATTAGAGTTGAATTATTTTATTTCCGGTTGATATAACGTCTTGGCGTTAGTGAAATCGAACGCGATTTCAACTGATTGGATAACATGATGTGATCATGAGTAGGTTATGTGAGTGGATGCACGATGGGATCGTGTTATTCTGCGAGTGGCAACCGAAGCGTTTATACACAGTTTTAGTTAATGTTGTAAGCTGTCATACAGCCGATTCGAAAATTTAGTTTTATTGTTCGAGGAGGCATACCTTTTTCCCCTTCGAAAGTCACAAAGGGTTTGATCTGGGTTTTACACCCCAGTCACATTTGTCGCACGGCGGCCGCAAGTCGACCGCAGAACAATTAAATCGGTGAATTTCTGCGGAGAGTGTAGAAAAACTACGCTCGCCTTGTGGCCTCCGTACGGCGTATGCAGATTTCTACAGGCCGCAGGGAAGGCGTAGAAATTATAACTCGGAGTTATAATATTTGTTCATTTCTGAGGTCCCCGTAGAAATCAACTGGCTCAACAAGATTGAATCATTATTTGTCAATGTTTCACGATCACTTTTCATTTGATATTACATCCTAGCACTTTGAATAACATTTATAAATTGTCCTGATGTAAATAAATGAAAAAAAAACTATTATTTATCAATAGAAATTTAAAATTCACCGTGCGGCTGCCGTGGGAAATGTGACTGCAAAAGTATGAGAGCGCAGAAATTCTGCGGCGAACGTAGAAAAGCTACTGGCCGCAGAAATGATAGACCGCAAGGTCGCCGTAGGAAATGTGACTGGGGTGTTAACGGTGTCAGGTCGATAAACTAAAGTTTTTCATATTGAAGTCAATAACACTTTCTTTAGTGCTATTGGCCAAATCAACGTTTTTGAATAAAGTATACGTGTTCTGACGTTGATGTAACCTGTTCCCAATAATTACTATTTTGGGAAGTATATTTTTTCTGCAATTATTACAAAGCATTGCATAGCATAGGATGTTAATTAAGTTATTTAAAACATTTAGATATTAGGTTTCTAAGAAGCAATTATGTTATTTGCATATAAATCTGAAACTTAAGGCATGTCTTTTTACTGACAGCGCATTGTATCTAAGTGAATAAACATGTATTTAAGTGCGTTTCTGTCATATTGTTTCAAGGAAGGCACAAAGTTTTGCTTTTTAAGATATTGATTATATCCAAAAGTCCTTCATATTTTTAGATATGTAATATCTATTTCCAGAAGGGCATCAATTTTGGTATTTTAAAATGATAGTTGTGTTCCTTAACAACATGTACAGTAGTTGTGTTATATCAGTGTGACAAACACATTAAGAGAAGTGCTTGTCAGCTAATTGCATTTTATATTAAACAAATAGTATTTAGATTTACAACGTTTCGAAGAATTGTACTTTTGCTTTTGTTGCAATACGAGATAAGTTTGTATAAGGGTTTGCAAAGCATGGTGCGTTCCAGATATTATATTGTTCATCACAATAGTTTTAGAAGATTGTATGATTTTTGTAATCACGGAATTTTTGTCTTTTGTGACCAACAATGTCGCATATTACGACAGTCTATTAAGGAAGGAAGTTTCATTAACTTTCTGAGTTACGTGTTTTGCCAAAAGGCAATGTTATGGTTACAGTGCATGTCTGTAGACAGTGATTTAGATTATTGTTATGTATTAATGACAGTGCGTGATTACTGTATTAGATAGTGAGGTATGTTACTCACAGATTTTGCATAGTGCTAGAAGGCACTATATACGTCTATGGTCCTTATACAAGTTTTTTATAGTGCAAGTTGACAGATAGTCACAATTTAGAATTGGTTTATTCCGAAATTTGTGAATTAATTTGAGATCTTTGACGTGTTAACAAACGTGTAACCACAATGGCTTTAATGACAGTTGATCATAAGATATGGATGGGTTGTTGGATTTAGATGTTTTAATTAGGCACACGGTGCCTTTTTGATGTCTTGAAGGCAGTTAAACATCGTAAATCAGCAGCGAGGTTGGGAGCCGAGGACGGATGTTGGGTATATTTGAACCTCAGAGGTTTCTGGCATTAATGTCATCGGCATCGTGGCCGCTATGACATTGGCATCGTGGCCGTCATAGGTACCTGGATGCATCGCGAACTGGCTACATTTTTTTCACTCATTCTTTGTATCCGATGTACTTAATGCTATTCCAATAAACGCGGGCTGCTGGCTCGAATTTAATCCTATAATAGATGTGATATTATGTTGTGTGGTTTGTGGTGAAGACTGTTTAATTAGGAAATAAGTAATGTGTGTACCAGTAATATGCTGCACACGTGAACCAAGCGGGCCATTGTTTGTATACATTACTTTATTAGATTTTTAAAGATATTAAGTTGATTCAAAATAAATGATATATCAAAATATACCTGAAATATATGTTGTAAAGTATATGGTAGATGGTTTGGTATATAACAATTAGAATTGAAAATGTCCGTAGATTATAGACGCCACCACTACCCATCAAAAAATATTATTAAAATTGAAACAATTTGCATAGATATCAGAGACATCTTATTTAAAGAGGCTCTATGGCATAGGATAGCACAATCAAGACCCCTCTGGACTTTTTTGCATATTGAGTTCCACCACAAATATACCCATCTACTTACCAAAGTCCCAAATCCCCCTCTTTCAGTGTTTATTTTGCGATTGTGCTGGCCGATCTAATTATTTTCGGAGAAATTAATTCAATCTGAAGTTTGAATATACCGGGAAAGTCCTCCTGTTATCTAATTGGTCGTTGAATTGGTTTATCATAAACCTGATTGGCTGCCTGGTTCAAGGCGCTTGTGGGCGCTTGTGTGACTCAATGGGGATTCCCCTCGCTAGCCGATGAATCGATTGTGTTTAATTCTGGAGTTTGGTTGTTCTGTTGATTATTTCCGATATTTCGGCAATAATATACCCAAAACTTATTCTCAAGATATATCTATGGTATGTGAGATATTATATGAGCAATAACAATAGGACATCATTGATTGTCTGGGGGAGGAACCCATGGCATAATGCATATTTAAGTACCAAAACAATTACATTTCTTTACGAAAAACCGACAGACGCATATCAAACCTTGTTTGTTTAAATCCGATCTAAATATATCACTGTCTGTTACTTTGGATGTACTCTTATATAATATGTTGTTATGGCAAGACGATGTCTCTGTATTTACTAGTGATTCAGTTGATTACACTGGTAAACGAAACGGTTTGTTCCGGTAAAAATTTCATTTCTTGCTTATAGCAGAAAATAATGCAAAATGACCAGCCTGTTTAGAAATTCTCAAACTTAAAACTCGAACTTATTCCAATGACATTTGGCTTTTTTCAATGGAATTTTTGTGAGTGTCCAAATTTTGCCCACCCTGTATTTGTACGGGGTCGTATTGGAGGAGCTTCTTCTAGAAACAATTGCATCTGCTGATATTAGAAAGCATATATTATGAAAATAATCTTTAAAAAGTCTATATTTTAAAACGGGATAAATTCTGAGATTATTTATCTTAATGATTTAATTTGATCACAAAGACGTGTGTTAAACAAACCACACATAACAAAAGCAATTGGATGTCAGAATATCATCAACTTAGACATGCAATACCTTTTTACTTTGGTGACACTACTAATGTGCATGAGAGCAAAAACACAAACGTTTTAACACAGCAATCATTAACAATATCAGTACCCGACTAAAAATACTACTTCAAGAGATATTTGTGTCACTCGCTAGATCTGCTTGTTGTCTGAAGCAAACATAACAATTCGTGTTGCGTGTAAATATTATTATTTTCCATTTATTTAACTTCACAAGTTGGGTATTAATAGAACTGTTGGGAGGTGGTGAGGAATGGGTGGCAATTTTTTAATGTCCATAAGTATATCAATATATTAATTGCCCATAAGGATAAATGTCCATAAGTATATAAATATATATTAATTGCCCATAAGGATATACATATATTAATTAAATGTCCATAAGTGTATAAATATATTAATTGTCCATAAGGATATACATATATTAAATGTCCACAAGTGTATAAATATATTAATGTGATATGCAATTTTATCATGATACAATTGCATGTACAGTGATTTACTTTAATTATATTATCAGAACATTCTATTGTGAGCTACTAGTGCTATTGCAAGCAGCCTGTAAGTTGAAATAAGATATAAACTCGTTTCACTGGGGTCAACCCTCTACTGATGTGGCAAACATTAGCATAATGCACAGATACAATCGTTCGACCCACAAAGCACCTTATTTGGCATAAGGGATTTATGTAATTTTGATTTGATTTTGATTAATAGGAACAATAATGGCAAAATCACGAGCCAACTGTGGTTTAAGCTACAAGGTTAACACTCATCTCTATTACAATCGTCAAAGTCCATCATATTGAGGTCGAGTGCGCCGAATGTCATGCCGCACTTTAGAATGACCGTCATAATCCCGAATACGGCATTCAAACATGACCGTGCTCTATTCGAATTTCTCAACCAATCAGAATGCAGCATAGCCAATATAGAACGTTCTCTAATTCTCCATAGATGCACGACCATGCTCTATTCAATCTGCAATTTGCATTGTTTTGAGTGACGTCACATCTCAGCTGCACATCTGGGGCTCTGTCCGGGGATAGCATGCGTATTCTTCATTCATGCCCGTTCCACAGA